AGCTAGAGTTTGAGACGCACTGGTCTGAAACGTCAGAGCGTTGAGGGGTTTGAAGTGGGGGGTGGGGACCAGCCAGGTATCCCGTGATGACAAGCGCATCATTACATTGAATCTTCACAGCTTTGCGAAGTTGTTGCTCTTGTCCCCATTTAACAGATGAGACACAGAAGTTTCACTTTTCCAAGGACCTGCCTCTAGGAAGGGGAAGAGCTGGGATTCAGACCCTCCGGGCAGGCTCCGGGGCGCCCCTGCTGAGCCAGGTCTCCGGTAAAGTCCAGAGGCACATTGGCCTCACAGCCAGGTAGTGGGCAGCTGAGTGGAGCCGATTCATTCCAGCATTTTGGCTGTCCAGTGAATAGGTAGGACTGGCCCTGTCTCTCGCCTTGGGGTGAGCACTAGTTTGTATGAGGTGCTAGTGACCAGGTCTCAGACCTGATGTCTTGGCACTGGGGTGCCCAGAGGCCCTAGGTTCAAGGCCAGCTTCTCCCTGACTCACTGGGAGGCTCCGCATCAGTGTCCTCCTCAGTCTGACGGGGACAGACTTCCCGGGAGGCATCTGGAAGATCAGTGGTCCCCCTGCCCAGCCCCTCTCACCGCCTGCGCCCGGGGAAGGGGCTCCAAAGCTCGCGGGCTATGCAGGGCCCTCCCGCCACACTCTGACACCTCGGCAGGGTAGCTCTTTGTTGCGGGGCCTGTCCCGGGGCACCGCCTCCAGGTTGTGTCCTCTGGGGGAAAGGCTGGGCGGGAACCCCTGCCTCCCCCCCAGCGTCCCCCCCCCCCGGGGCTACAGGACAGGCTTTTCCTGCGTCCACAGCCTATCCTCCTGACAGGGGCCGCCCTCACCAGCAGGCCTGTCCTTCAGGGCCTGGTGTATTCGTCTGCACTCATTTCTGTTGATGCAGGTGACATCTGAACACATTCTCCTTCTGACACTCTCCCACGTTCCCAAGGAAGCGGAGTGCCCTTTACCGCCATCCACAGGGGTGTGAGGTCCCTGCTGGTGGGTGACGTCACGGAGGCCCCACGGGGTAGGTGCGAATGCCTGCTGGGTGCTGACCGCGCTGGGCCTCTGATGCACATTTGATGATTTTAGCGGGCATTCCTCAGCGTGCTTCCCTCACCCACGTTTCTCCTGCGTCTCTTCCCTGCGGTCCCCATAGCCCTGGCCCACGCCTTCGCACAGCCCCACGTCATGCCCTGGTTAGGAGGCCGCAGAGCTCAGCGCGGATCCTGTAGGGTTTTGCCGTCAAGGCCCAGCACGGCTGCTATGAGCGCTCTTGGGCTTGTCCCCCTGTGCACCTGTGTCAGTGAGCCACCACAATTGTGCCTGTGGTGGGGTACACATGGGGACTGAGCAGTCACTGCCAAGTTGCCTTTCACAAAGGCAGACCCTCTGCCCCCTCACAGGCAGTGCGAGGGGGCTTCTCTCTCCCTAGGCCTTTGGACCATGTGATGGTGAGGCAAGGCCGCTCACATCTGCGTTTAACATCATTTCCCCAATTCCTAGTCTTTCCTATGTTGATTGGACAGGCGTCTGTCTCCTGCTGAGCACCGGTTCCTATCCCTGGTCTATTTCTCTATTATTTTTACCCTGTTCCTTGGTGCTGTGTAGTTCTTAATTCTTATGCATCTTCATTATCATAGTCTTTTCAGATAAAAATTTTCGGGTGTACCCCCTGTTTCCCATTATGACCCTGACTGATACCAGGCTATTGTGGGGATTAAGTAAAATTATACTTATAAGGTCATTAAAACAGTGCTTGGCACAGAGCAGGTACTCTAGAAGCAAAAGCTGTTTGATTTGCTAGAAAAGAAGTCCCCCAAGGACAGACATACTCATCAGCCTTGATCATTTTTGTATATCCAGCACCTGAAATGTATGGGATGCAGTAATTGGCGAATAAATAGCCTTCGGCAGATGTGTGAAAAGGGGATGAGCGTTCACACTACGTATTCCGCCAAAAGCGCCTAGTGTGTGGCCAGTCTTCGCCCGGCGCTGTGACTCACCCGATAGGCTCCTTCCTGGTCAAGGTCAGGTTGCGGTTTGGTCTGGCCTGGTTGATGGGGATGGTGGAGCCCTGGAAGAAGCATGGGGAGTCACTGGCAGGGGCTCCATGGTTTCCTTGCCCCTTCCCCCTGGGCAGCCAGACTGTGCTGGGGGCTCAGAAAGGAACAGGGTCTTGTCTGCATCCTGAAACCCCATGACCAAGACAGGTAGGAGACCCAAACCTTCCAGATTATGTACAACAGGGGCATCTGAGGACTCCGGATACAGGCAAGGCAGGCAGCCAGCAGGGGCAAGGTGCCTTCTGCACGAGCCTGGAAGAATCCTCAGGCAAGAAGCTGGTCCTGGTACAGGTAAGGCCTTTGGCTTTGACTTTGGGGCAGAGAAGGGAGGAGGTGGGGGACCAAGTTGTCTCTGGAGGCTGGGCCAGCCCAGGAGGCCCCAGGTGGGGGGCGGCTCCAGCCAACAGTGAGGCAGCAGCAGAAGGAGGGGCAGAGGCGGGCCTCAGGTCACACCTGCGCCTGTCAGCCCCATGGAGAGGGTGGAGGCTTGGAGCCCATTTCTGGCAGAGATCCCAGGAACCTGTTGGTGATGGGTATCTCTGGGGAAAGGTTGACTCATCCCTGCCTCTGGCGGGCAAACCTCTGAAAATGGCTCCCAAGGTCACATTCTGATCCCTGGGATCCAGAGACGGTGAGCTACCTCTCCTGCAAAGACTTGGAATGCGCAGTCGACCTTAGGACAGGGAGATGATGCAGATGGCCCCAGCGTGACCTTGGGAGCCTCCATAAAGGCAAAGTTGGCTCCAATTTAAAGGAATCAGAGGGATGCCAAGCCTGGGAAAGGCAAGGGGATGGGGCGGGGGGGGGGGGTGCAGAGCGAGGCCTGCAGTAGCTTCGGCCAGCAGCCAGCAAGGACCTAGACCTTGAGTCCTGCAACAACAGGAGCTGAGTTCTGCCAATCCCTGAGCAAGCCTGCAGGCAGGGTCTCCCCAGAGCTCCAGATAAAGCCCAGGCTGGCTACACATTGACACTGACCTTGTGAAATCCTGGCATGGAACCCAGCCAAGCCTGCCTGAACCTCCCATCTGCAGAAATGTGAGCCGCTTGGTTGTTTTAAACCACTAAACTGTGGTCATTTGTTATGCAGCATGTAGGCTGACACGCTGCCCTAGAGTTTCCTGTGGAGCCCAGCCTGCCTATCCGAGCTTTCACGTGGTGGGCAAGAGCCTCAGCCCCACCTGAATTTTGTCGCACCAGCCAGCAAAGTAGCGGAAGGTCTGGATGGACATGCCCACGTGGGTCTTCAGGGCCAGGGTGTAGACAGCGCCTGCATCCAGAGACTCGATGGTGGCCAGCTCTTCCTGATGCTGTTCCATGAGGTCCGCCAACCTGGCCAAGGGGTCGGGGAGGGGAGGGAGATGGACTCAGGCCAGGAACAGCCTCACCTATGCTTTCAAGGCCCTTCTTCAATGAGTGAGGGGCTCTGCCCTGCACTCCCAGCTCTGCCACACTCAGAGGTGCTGACCTCAGTTTCCTGATCTGTGAGATGGGACAGTAAGGTTTACTCTCTCTGCTGGATGGCTGTGAGGATGATGCCCTCTGTCCCTCTCTCCTCTCTGTTCCTTTCTTCCTTCCTAAAATATGGATGAACTACTTTATAATAACACACATGATTCTGCAAGGCAGTCCCTCTGCCTCTGTAATTAGGTCACCATCAAGAAGGCCACCCTCTCTGTCTCCTGACGGCCTTGACCAGGGGAAAGCATGTCCAGCTTCAAGCACCAGCTGACCCAGTGGACTGTGTCCCCGAGGATGGCATCTGTGGGTAGGGAGAGGTTCAGGGAAGGCTCGTCTACATGGCCCCCCTTAAGTGTGAGCACATCCAGTTGAGTTGCCCTCTCGTGATTCTGGTGGGTGTGCTGCTGTGGGCAGGCTGGGAATCAGGATTGTGCCCCCTTCTCTGATATAAAGGAGCCCAAAGAGCAGAGCGCCCGGGGGACAGGGTGCCCAGGGGAAGGCAGAGGCCGCAGATCCAGAGCAGCTCTCAAACTTTGTCCATGGGGGAGGTCTGGCCGAGAGATAAGCCTGGGACGAACAACTGCGGGCCTGCTCCTCACCGCACACAGCCACGGCGTGGCCTAAACACCCCAGGCACGCACTCACGCTCTCTGGGATCTCCTGCCCACTCTACACCAATCACGTATCCCTGCACTGTCCTGAGAGCACCTCCCCCTTCCCTCAAACCTTGCCTGACTGTTACAGACATTCACTTAGCTGTATGATCTGCCTCTCCCTGACGGCTGGGACACTGTTTGGTCTCCTGCTCCGTATTGGAGCTCTTACACCCACTGGGCACACAGTCGGCAGGTAGCATAAGGCTGACGAGGGAAACTGTGGGCCGAACAGACACAAGCAATTTAGTGGCAGAGCCACACTGTTACCTCAGAGGCAGTGACACGCACAGGTAATTCTCTAGGTAAGAATAGCAAAGCTGCAAATCACTTTTTGAGAAGCATTACAGACCAAATAATGAAAACACCATGTTGTGGCATTTCAAAGACTAGGGCTCTATCAACTAGAAACACAGATGTGTCACAGGTATAAATCTATATTATAAATAAGCCAAAGATGGCCTCTGTGTATTAGCCCCTAGATTTTTCATGGCTTCCCTGTAGGGTGAGACCCATCAGCTTATAAGCTTGCTGGATACACATTTGTGTATCCAAAAATGGCCCAAACAAGCAGACTTTTGGCTATTTAGAGTCTTCTTGCTTTGCATCCCCCGGGGACCTCACTTGACAGCTATTATCATCGGGGAGATGGACTATGCAGTTATAGCTGCTGCCTTCCTGGCATTCTGATCCAGAGATCCCCGCTCTGCTGCTGAGCAACATTGCCAGGACACGGGAGACCCTCTCTGACCCCCCAACCTCCAAGATTTCCTTTGCATGTCTCCCATTCTGAGTAGAGACCCCCCCACTACAGTCTCTGGGGGGGTCTCCCACTACGGGTGTGTCGCCCCCTGAAGCCTGTTGTGTGTTTCTACTTCTCATAGTCCTATCTTTTTCCTTGATCAGCCCCAAATCCCTCCAATTCTGGCAGACACGTGCTGTGGCCATGTCATAAATCCCTAAAGTAACTAGCACCCGAGCACGCCATTTGGGAGGCTCGGCGAGGAGTACTGAGTGCGACTGTTCACTGTCAACTTTTTAAGCGGTCCCTCTGCCTCCCAGCATCCGGTCCCCAGAAGGCACCAGTGGGGGAAGCGGTGAAGCAGCCACCATCACCCCAGGGGTCCTCAGGATGGCCATGAGGGAGGGCACGTGTGGGGCGCCACGCAGGCTCTGCCTCACTCCCAGCAGCCTGGGCCACCACGGGATTCTTGTCTGTGGACCTAAGGAAGTGTCTGAACCAAAGGTGACAGCTTCCTCAGACTCCGTCACCAGCTCCTGGCCCCACTCTGGCATCTGGGGACACTAGCTCTCGAGGTTCCTGAGAGGCTCTCTCTCATCCCTCAGTGGTTCTTGAGGTCTGTCTAGTGACTTTCTCGAACAGTCCTTTCTAGCTCTTTCTTCCCAGCTTCTCCAACAATTGCAGAATGTCTCACTCCTAGAATGTAGCCTGTATTCCATAATATCTATGGATCCATGGTGGTCCTATTTTCCTCCTTGAACCAGGAGCTGCCCCGCCCTGGGCCAGCAATGGGAGAGCCTCCACCTTGGGGACTGGGAGGTTGCATGAGGCAAGACCGGGTTACTAGGAGCTCTCAGGCCTGGCCTTGAGATGTCTGTCCAAGCAGTCCGGGTCTCTACTTGGAGCTGTGCGGGCACCCAACCCTTCACGATCATGTTGCTAGTGGTGTTATTACGACACAAGCCTCTAGATGGCAGCAGAGCACCTCCAGGGAAACGCTCTTCTGGGCCAGCACAAATCCACCGCGGGAGTCCCTGCTTCAGGGCCAGGAGGCTCTCAGCATCATCAGTCAGCCTGGGCTTGCATGTTTCAGCTTTGCCTGATCTAGGTCACTAGGCAATGGCTTCCTAAAATTGATAGGCCCTTCAGAGGGTCTTGAAGCTGACTTGAGTTAGAGCAGGCTGGACGCACCCTGGCTTGCCGCAAACCCTACCATCTCTATTGCATTTTCAATCTATGCAGGCCCCTCTCTCTGGCCTCCTGTGCTGGGGGCTGTCCGGGTGTTTCTGACCTCTGAATAGGAAAAGAAAATGACATTCTGACTCCAAGGTCAAGTTGGGGCCCCTCTCCCACCAGATGACAAGTATATTCGGACCACGTCATGACCAGCCTCAATGCCTGATAACCTCCCCAGGACCGAGCATAAAAGTCAGGTTCCTGAAACTGGCTTGTTCGCTAGGCTTTTTGACACTGCTTAGTTCATCTGCCCAGCATCCTCCCTTCTGAAAACATCACGCCACTTCCTTGGGGGGCAACTGCTCCTCCTCCATTAGGACCACGTGTCTCTCGGGGAGGAGCCACTCCCACCCCAGGGTCACGAGCTGGAGCAATCCTAAGTCCTTCTCCAACCCTTCGGATGAAGCTAAGGGGAGAGAGGCCCTTCCTCCCTGGTTTTAGAAAAAAGGGAAAATGTGAGATTCCGGCAGTCAGGGCGATCTGAGCAAGGACCAGCAGGAAGAACAGACCCCATCCTTCCTTCGTCGGCTTCTACATCATATAGCCCCGATCCCTCCTCTGGCCAGTCCATTCCAGGTAAGTGTTGTACCTGTCTGAGACCTCCCAGGACCATCTGTTAGCGCTGCCGGTTTGCCGCCCCCATCTGACTAGCACCTTCATTTTTGCGCCTCCTCATCTTCAATCACACTGTTCCCTCCTGTTCCCTCCACTGAGGACATTTTCCCCTTAAGGCTACTTGTGTCTGGTGAAATCCCTCCTGCCTCTCAAGTCACTTCCTCTGAGAAGCCTCTTCTGAGTCTCAGGTCTTGGTCACACCACCTGTCTGGGACCCCAGCTTCCTCCCGAGCACGCGGGTTCAACCCAAACAGAAGGTGGGCGGCTGACAGACGGTTGTGGGGCTCTCACCTGTACAGGAGCCGGCCCCGGTCCCGTGCACTGATCTTCCCCCACAATCCATTCTCGAAGGCATCCTTAGCGGCAGCCACTGCCTTGTCAACATCGCTGACCTGGGCCAGGGACACCTGGCAGATGACCTGTGGTGGAGCGGAGCCGTGACGCCCTCCGCGGACTCTGTGTGCACAGACGCCCCGGGCCGCCGCTCCCCTGTGCACACCGCGGAAAGGCAGGGACCCTCCAAGAGGCTTGTTCATGTCTCTACACACCAGGACCCTTCTTTTCCCTTGCCCACTGAGCCCAAACAGGGCACCAGATTCAGGCTGCAGCTAGGAGGCTGAGGATCAGCTTAGCATTGTCAAACCAAGAGCATTAATTTGGTAAGTCCTAGGCAGAAAGTCTATTTCTTAAGTGGAATAGTCTAGATGTTGAAGGTGACAGGACCGTTCCTGTCCCCCATCCTTGCTCTGTGTCCTGACAGTGCCCATGTGCCCTACAGTGCAGGCCCCCACACCTCCTGACACCTGGGTTTGCCCAAAGGAAAGCCAGGAGGAGAGAGAAGTGGGGGGGGGCAAGGCCAGCACCCCGCTGGTCACCATAGGCAGGGTGCACCCTCCCTGCCCAAGGGCCCAGCACCCAGACAGCCCTGTCCACACAGCATCCCTTCTGGGACTCCCAAAACAGGCCTCATGGTGGTAACAGCTCTTGATGTTTCTGCCCGAGGGCACTGCACCCCCTTGTGTGTGTCCCCACATCCTGTCTACCCCTTTGTCAATTGTTTTCCTGAAACTCCCTTCAAATGACCCATTTGAGTGTGGTATCTGTTTTCTGCAGGCCCTGAGGGATGCTCTACGTGGGGTAGGATGGAAAATTGAGTATGCACTTGTAGGAGTAAGTGTGGTTTCGGGTAGGTGTGGGTGTGTGAGAATACAAAATGCACATACTGGGTCATGACAGAAAAGGGTCACGGTCAAGAAAGTCTGACAAACATGGGATTCAAGGAAAAATTCCCAACAGTGGGTGTAAACATATTCAAGAAGGTAAGGCCCATGCTGAGGTTATTGTTGATGCATGGAGTGGGAGAGAAGAGCTTCATTTCTTCCATACGGGATTTTAGCTCTGGTCCCAGTGTCTGAAGCAGGCTCCTGACCTTTGGAGCCCTCCCGCCTCCCTGCTCTAGGTCCCCTCTGGGCCATTCCTGTAGTGGGGACTGAAAACTGATTATAGCCATTCTGCATGCAAGTAGAGGAATCCCAGACACCAGGTGGGGGAGTAGATGAGACAGGAGACCATGGAGGGGACAGGTGGGGGGGGGGGTGCTCACACTTCCGTCTGTCGGGTTGATGGTCTCATAGGTCTTGGCGCCCTCAGCGTCCACAAACACACCCCCAATGAAGAGCTGGTGGGGCATTCGGAGGGTCAGCTTGTTCACCGCCTTTTCCACCTGGGAAGGGAATTTTTGCAGGGATTCACTGCAGCGTGGATTCTTCACAAGGTGCATCAGTGACAGGTACGAACCCACAGAGACACCCAGGAAAACACTCGCAGACGGATAGGTAACCACTCATGCACACACTCATGCACAGGCACACACACACAGATAGCCAAGGGGCCAGGGCTCAAGTCCCCGTGGCCTTCTCATGTCTCTTTTCCCAAATCCAGTCCTGGTGCCCGCCTTGGCCCAGGGAGCTGTAAGGCCATGGTGGCAGCTGAGCAATAAGAAGAGACGAAGAGCAGAGAATCTGAGGTCAGTCTGCCTGGGCCGCCACCCCAGTCCTGCCATTTACCTGCTGTGTGATCTCGGGCTGGTTGCTAGGCCTCTGCAAGTAGGAAGTGCCAGTTGGCAGACAGACACTTGTGAGTTACTTGACATGACACCAATCCCATCGCTCGCTTCCCTATAGACCTGAAATTCCATACTGAACGGCGTCCTCTGGGATGCCACTCTTCTCCTGAAATCCGTTCATCAGCCACCTGCCCGCTATCCTAAAGCCAACCTCGTATCCATCTTGGCCACCTGTACTTTCTTCATCAACTTTTGTCCCACACAAACTATCCCAATGCTAATTTCTATGGGAGCTCATAGCCTAACAAGACACCTCAGGATGATTTTTCAGGAGTTTCTTTTAAAAATAAGCTTGCAGGGGTGCTTAGGTGATCTTGATTCATGAGTTTGAGCCCTGCATTGGGCTCTCTATGGTCAACAGAGCCCACTTGAGATACTCTGCCCCCTACCTCTCTGTCCCTCCACACTTACTCTCTCTCTCTCAAAAATTAACAAAACACTTAAAAAATTAAAAATAAATTTGCGATTACATCATCACACTTCCGTATATACAAGTTGAAACTATCGGATCACTTGTTTCCCTTACTGGGAAAATGTTCCCAGTTCCTCATTCTCTCTCTCTTTCTCTCCCTCTCTCCCTGTCTAGCTTCCTCCCTGCCTCCCTTTCTCTCTTTTGGCATTTCAATGAAAAGAATTTAATACATGCAGGTGGTTGCACAGGTGATGAAAGAGCTGAGCGGCCACGAGTCATCCCAGAGATTGATAACAGCAGGAAGCCCCTGGCATTACTTGACTAGAAGGAAGTGGTTGTACCCGAACTAGGGTCCAGGGTCCCCCCGAAGAACTGGAGTCCTGGAAGCGTGATCTGGCAGGGCGCAGAGCCACAGCAGTGAGAAGGCAACTGCTGGGAAAAACCACCAAAGGAGACCGAAGGTGAGAAGTACTCTGTAAAAGCCACTTCTTAATAGCCTGCTCTCATCTCTCTGGGGGGGTCGGAATTTGTCTCGTGGACAACAATTTCCTCTGTTGCATTTGCCTACCTGCGCTGACAGCCCCAGGCTATCAGGGTTACCAGAGAGAGCTTGGGACACTGAAGGGGGGCTCTTGAGTGCCCTGGCTTCTGGGATGCCCAGGTTTTCCCCATGTGTCATTGTGGATCCACAGGTGTGAGCGTTTGAGAGGTGTGCAGGGCCAAGCCTCTGTGGAGGGGCCCAGGACTCACGTAATCAATGATGCACTCGCTCTCTTTGTCGTCCCCTCGTAGCTTCCTCACTAGTAGTTGGATGAAGTCCCCAAAGGTGGTTGCCATGTAAACATCTTCATTTTCTAATTCCAGTCCATCACACAGCTCCTTCACTTCCTCAACCAGTCTGTAGAAAGACAGATGGGAAAGTGGGAGCATGGGAAGAGGCTTGGCAGACCAGCATCATTCTAGTGGCAGAGGTTGTGGTGCCAACCATTTACCCAGAAGGGAACTTCATCTCAACAACCAAAGTTATGGTGTTAATCTAGAACTGGAGTTAAGAGCCCAGTCCATGGATTCAGAAGGCCCTAGTTTCAGGTCGTGGCTCCATCACTTACTAATACGTGACCTTGCGCAAGTGGAAAACGCCTCTGAGCCTTAGTTTCTTCACCTGCAAAACTGGAAAAATAGCTCCTGGGCTATTTTCTGATAAGTAAATGAGACATGTTGATAATAATCAATAGGAGATTAATAATAGTCACTGAAAGATATGTTAAAAGGATGAAGTTTGGGGCGCCTGGGCGGCTCAGGGGGTTAAGCATCCAACTCTTGATTTCTGTTCAAGTCATGATCCCAGGGTCTTGACAAAGAGCTCCACATCGAGCTCTGCACTGAGTGTGGAGCCTGCTTAAGATTCTCTGTCTCTCTTTCTCCCCTCTTCCTCCCTCTCCCACTCTCTCACTCTCCAAAAAATAATAATAAAAAGAATGAAAAGGCAAACCACAGATGGGGGAAAATATTTCCAAATAAAATCTGATAAAGGACTCTCATTCAGAATGTATAAAGAACTCTCAAATTTCAATACTAAGAAGAAAAGAAACAATCCAAGTAAAAATGGGCAAAAGATTGAACGGATGCTTCACCAAAGAAGAAATGCAGATGGAAAAAAACTCATGAAGATATGTTCAACATCACAAGTCATTAGGGAAAAGCAAATTAAAATGAGATTGGAATATGTCTACACACTTACCAGAATATCTGAAATTAAAGTCTGACCATAGGTATCACTGGTAAAGATGCAGAGAACTGAGCTCTCATACACTGCTGGTGGGACTTTGGACACCATGCTGGAGAGCAGTTTGGCAGTTTCTTAAAAATTAAACTTATACTTCCCATTTCACTCTCAGACATTTACTCAAGAGAAATAAAAACCTACACACAGACAGAAAATGGTAGAGTGGGAAGCTCCAAAGAGCCATTCCTCCACCTGTAGAGCTATTGGACAGGCAGAATTGTCTGAATCGAATGTTCTGGAACTGTAAAGTCAGTCAAATGTTTGCAACACCCAGGAAAAAGATGATGAAGAGTCTGGTAAATGTCAGCAAATTTCAGCATTTCTTGAGGTGTTACTCCCCATCCCTCTGGTAGGAGGCAGTGGGGGAAGCTGAACTCATTCCTGGGGCAGCTTTCTGGAGCCAGGGTGGGTAGTAAGGACTTTGTCCTCCTTACATCCAGATTGTGTGTTCTGAGTGCTGATGCTCCTTTTGATCACTGAGGGGCCAGCACAAAGGCTGGCAGCCAGTTTTAACTCCCAAAGGCTGAAGCAGCTTCCAGGAGATTTAAAAAGGCAGTATTTCCCCCCTTTTTTGGGGAGTCAGACATTTAAGAAAATCCTTGTTAGGCCAGTGGCTGATCATATAGATAACAGAACAGAAACTTTATTTTTTTATTTTTTTTTAAAGAAGTTTTTTTTAATATTTTTTATTTATTTCTAGGAGAGAGAGAGAGGGAGTCACAGACTGAAACAGGCTCCAGGCTCTGAGCTGGCAGTCAGCACAGAGCCCGACGCGGGGCTCGAACCCACGAACCGCGAGATCATGACCTAAGCGAAAGCCGGACGCTCAACCGACTGAGCCACCCAGGCGCCCCCTCAGAACAGAAACTTTAATTACTGCATACAACAAGGAATACACACTTTACAAAAGAAAAAAAAGTTTGGAAGAGTCACAAATGGAGAAATCCCACCCTCCACAAATAAGACTGAGGAATCACTGAGGACCGAGAGGATTGCATTTTCAGAATTACACAAGATAACACTCAAAATATCCAGTTTTGAACAAAAAATAGTAAAACCTACAAAGAAACAAGCAAATATAGCTGATGTGCAGGAAAAATAAAAGAATTTGGAGACAATCATCCTCTAGGAAGACCAGATATTAGCATTATTAGCCAAAGATGTTAAATCAATTGTCTTAAAGATGTACAATGATTTAAAGGAAACCCTGGACAAAGAACTAAAGGAATGAGGGAAGCGATGTAAGAAAAAATGAGAATATCAATAAAGACATAGAAATTTTAATAATAAACCACACAGACTCTCAAGCCGATGAGTACAATAACTAAAAAAACTCACAAGAGAGGTTCAACATCAGATTTGAGCATGCAGAAGAAAGGACTGGTGAACTTGAAATTATCCAGTGTGAAGAAAAGAAGGAAAACGGAATGAATAAAAATGAACAGAGTGTGTGGGACATCATCAAACTCATCAACATTCTCATTTTAGGAGTTCCAAAGAAGAGAGATAGAAAAGGCACAAAAAATGTTTCAAGAAATCATGTTCTAAAAGTTCTCAAGTCTGAGGAAGTACGCGAATATGTACATCCAAGAAGATCAATCAATTCCAAGGAGGATAAACTCAAAGGATTTATACCATGACACATTACAGTCAACTTGTTGAAACCCAAAGACAAAAAAGGAAATTTGGAAAGCAGTAAGAGAAAGCAAACTCATCACCTACAAAGGATCCTCCCTAAAATTAAAAGCTGATTTCTCTTGGGGGTGCCTGGGTGGCTAAGTTGATTGACTGCCGACTTCGGCTCAGGTCAGGATCTCATGGCTTGTGGATTTGAGCCCTGCATCGGGCTCTGTGCTGACAGTGTGGAGCCTGCTTGGGATTCTCTCTTTCCCTCTCTCTCTGCCCCTCCCCCACTCTCCCATTCTCTCTAAAATAATTGTTAAAAACTTTAAAAACTTAAAAAAAAACTTTTTTTATTAAAACTTTAATAAAAAAAAGAAACACTAAAGACAATCACTCAGGCTGAAATGAAAGGACACTAAAGAGTAACCCAAAGTCATAAGAAAAAAAGTAAAGAACAGTGGTAAAGGTAACCACATGGGTAAATATGAAAGCCAGTATTACTGTACTTTTGGTATGGTTTGCAACTTCTCTCTTTTTCCTATATAATAGCCAAATGCAGAACACAATCACTTTAAATCAGTATTTTTTTTTCTAATTTTTTTTTTTTTACAAATAGTTTATTGTCAAATTAGTTTCTACATAAACTTTAAATCAGTATTAATGGCTATGCAGTGCATAGAGACGTCATCTGTGACAGTAATAGTTGGGGTAGGAACAGAGATGTATAGGGTTAGAGTATACACGATTGAAACTAAATTGGTATTATTTAAATTACACTGTTATATGTTATTTTTTAGTGTCCCTCCTTTTTATTTATTCATTTTTCGAATAGTTTATTCTCAAGTTGGTTTCCATATAACGCCCAGTGCTCATCCCCACAGGTACCCTCCTTCATGCCCATCACCCTACACTGTTATATGTTAATTGTAATCTCTAAGGTAATTAAGAATTAACTTTGAAAGGGCACCAAAGTGGAACACTACCTAGAAAAGGGAGAGCAGTAATAAAAAAAAAAAAAATTGAGGAAGAAAAAGCATAAAAGACATACCGAAAACAAATAGGTAAAGAGAAGAAATAAATCCTTCTATATCAGTCATCTGGTTAAATGACAATAACTCTCTTATTAAAAACATAAATTGAAAGGTTGGATAAAATACATCACCTAGATATATACATCTAGATGCTTCTAGATATTCACTTTAGATGTAAGTACACACAAAAAAATTGAAAGTGAAAAGATGGAAAGATATCTCTTGCAAAGAGTAACCAAAAGATAGCTGGGTTGCTATATTACTCTCATTAAAAACAGACTTTAAATCAAAATGGATTATGAGAAACAGAGACTGTTAATAAAAGTTTCAACACAGCAAGAGGATATAACGATAATAAACATACAGTCACCACCAACACAGCCCCCGAAATACATATAGCAAAAACCGAAGGGAGAAATAGACTTTCCTACAATAGTAGTTGGAGACTAAAATGCCCAGCGTTCAGTAATGGATGCAACAACCAGAGAGATGATAAATAAAGAAGCAGAGAAATTAAACAACACTATAAACCAATCATATACTGTATACAGAACAGACATATACAAAATACTCTACCCAAGAAGAGCAGAATTCATATTCTTCTCAAGTACACATGGAATATTCTCAGCACAAACTATTTGTTAGGCTACACAATAAGCTTTTTTGGTTTCTTGGGTTTTTAAAGTGTTTATTTGTGTGTGTGTGAGAGAGAGACAGAGTGTGAGGAGGGGAGGGGCAGAGAGAGAGAGAGAGAGGGAGACACAGAATCTGAAGCAGGCTCCAGGCTCCAAGCTGTCAGCACAGAGCCTGACATGGGGCTCAAACTCACCAACCAAGAGATCATGACCTGAGCCGAAGTGGGATGCCTAACCAACTGAACCGCCCAGGTTCCTCAGGCTACACAATAAGTCTTAATAAATTTTAAAAGGTTGAAATCTCATAGCACATCTTTTCTGATCACAGGAATGCAACTAGAAATCAGTAGCAGAAGAAAAATTGGAAAATTCACGATATGTGGTAATTGAATGGCACACTCTTAAACAACCAATGGGTAGAAGAAGAAATCACAAGGAAAATGAAAATACCTTTAGTCAAAGAGAAACAAAAACACATACCAAACACACCAAAACTTACAGATTGCAACAAAGGTAGAGAGGAGGGAAATCTGTATTTGTAAATGCATACATTGAAAACGATCTCAAGTCAATACCCTAATTGTATATCCAAAGGAATTTTCTTTTATTTTCAAGTGTTTTTTAATTTGTTTTTAACAGAGAGAGAGAGAGACAGAGTGTGAGCTGGGGAGGGGCAGAGAGAGAGGGGGAGACATGGCATCCAAGGAAGGCTCCAGGCTCCGAGCTGTCAGCACCGAGCCTGACGCAGGGCTCGAACCCAGGATCCGCGAGATCATGGCCCGCGCCGAGGTAGGCCGCTTAACTGACTGAGCCACCCAGGTGC